AAGGAAAGAGTCAATATGGTAACTACTTTTGGGTCGGAATTATCTGGTGGTGAAACACTATTCTGCTTAAATGGTTATGTTTTGATCTGCGCTGTTTCGCTGTTATGTCCTCTTTTTTCTCAATCTCCACTCCATTATTTACTTTTTTATTTTTATCTGTTTAATTGAAGGGAAAAAAAATAGCAGGATATAATATAGTAACCCACTTTGACTTTCTATTATCTCGATTTGAAGCCCTGTATTACTCTCACCATCTTGTTTTTGACTGAAGTTCCCCTATTCTGTTTTGCTGGATAGTATCAGGTTCGAAAGTTTAGGCATCAGCTGTGAAGATAATGAGATTCATTATAACGCCCATTCTCATTGACTTTTATCTACTTTTGAAGACCTACAATGTCTCCAATGTTTTGGTTTTGTCGGTTTTGTTCTTTACTGTTTTGTTCAATTGTATTATAACTAATGATATAGGCAATTCTATTAGAGATAGCGGGAGGCATTATGGTAACCATTGTTGATCACCTTGCATTATGTTTTTATATTATCTATTATGTCCACCCTTTTGACTTGACCGATTCTGTTCTGTTATGTCTCATTTGGTTTTACTTTCTTCCAAAAAAGCAATGAGAACCGTGGGAGCAATGAAACTCAAAATGTGTAATAGTCATTGTACAAAAGAGAGGAAAAGAAAGTGCTCTAAACTATATAACTGCATGTATATTTAAGTGTATAAGATAGAAAATGATATCACAGAGTTTTATTGGATCATTGAACAGAACTGATTGCAGTATCATTGTTGGAATGTCCACTCTACAAGCTTTAATTTTGTGACTTGAACAATTATTTCTAAGATGGCAATATGTAATCCATTAACTAATGATTTCCTACTGTTCATTTTTTTCTTCTGTAAATCTGTATAACTTGTACCCTTTCACTGTTTTTTTTTCTTTTCTCCTTAAATAAAAAAAACATTAAAAGAGAGAATCTTGTGATCTGCTTCGGATACACAGTATTGATTTCTTAGGTCTGCCTCAGCACCCCTCCGAATCTCTGCTCAAATGAGAGAAAAGGAAGAAAGAGGAAGATGGAGGATAGGAGAAAACAGTCTAGTGGGAATAACCCGTTTGACAAAAGATGGAAATTGCCTGGAAGAGGGGAGAGTGACAAAACAGAGCAGAAGAAACAGAAGCAGAAGGAGGAGGGTAAAAGGCAGCTTGTACTGCCTGCAGAGCCCCAAAGAGAACTGAGCCTGCGAAACAAGGTGATTGCTAGAGGCTGAGGTGTGATCCAGACTGAAAATACAAGAATTGAATCAGACTCTGGGACAGTCAGTGCTCCAGCTGTTCATATTCTTGCTGCCAGAAGTCAGCCCCTTTGCCCTCTTCCACAGTGACCAGAGGTTCAGTCTCAGGCCTGGAGGACATCAGTCACAGTGAAGAGGAGGAGCAAGGCATCAGGCTGAGCTTGGGGGGGCTCAGTAAGGGGATTAATGGGTGAGGCCCTGCCCAGCTGTGCCCATCCTGCCCCTGGTTTGATTCTGGATCTTCAGCAGCCAGGACCAATAGCATCCTCTTTCCACCAGAACACACGGGTTCTTCTTTGGAGAAATGATTGCTCCAGAGAAAACTGTTAAAGATACCAACCCCTGGCTGTGTGGAAGTTTCTTCAGTGAAAAACCTGATTTCATGCAAACCACCCCACAGTGGGGTTCCATTTCCACTGAAGTGGGAGAGCTTCGTCTCATATTTTAGTGTCTTGCTTTATGAAGTGTCACTAGATATTTGAAAGGTGTAAAACATAGTATGTCATGAAAAGCAGAGGAAAAAGGAAATGGAACAAAAAGTGTAGAGGAAGCAAAAGCACATTTTAAAATGTTATTATTAAAAGCTTTGGGGACATCGCAGATATGGTAGAAAAATAAGGTCAATCCATAAATTTAAAAATATTACCATAAAAGACACATTGCCATTAACTTACCTCAGAGCTACTCTTCTGTTGGAAAGCACTTGTCTTGTAGTTCTTTCCACTTTCTGAAGCAGTTCTGGAAGTCCTCTTTCATGAATGTGTTTAGTGGCACTGTTGGGGATGCCTCAATGCTCTGTATCAGATCAAATTGTTTATTTCCAATGGTCATTTTGAGTTTAGGAACGGGTCAGAAGTCACAAAGGGCCAGCTGTGATGAATAAGGTGGATCAAGACACACTGCCATCTTTTTACAAGCCTGTCTTCCCCTTGGATGGCCCTCAGTAGCAGCGCTCACTGTATTTCTGATCCTTAAGACATTCATGAAAGAGGATTTCTAGATCTGCTTCAAAAAGTGGCAAAATGATGGGTAAATGTACTTGAAGAGAGGGTAGATATTTTAAGGGTGACTGGCAATATATCTTTTATTGTAGTAAATTTTAAAAATGTAAACATTTACCATATATTCTGATCACACTTCACAAGGTAAGATGTTGAATCCATGGAAAAGAATAATGTAATAAAGGAAAAAAAGAAGTCACTTTTTGTCTTAGTTACTTTTCCCTCGTTGCTGAAACAAACACCCAACACCCAAAGTGAAAGGGGGAAAGGTTCATTTATCTCACAGGTTGTAGAGGTTTCACTCTTAAGCATCTGGGTCCAAAGCAGAGTGGCACATACCAGAGGGGCAATGGGGATTAAAGTGATGCCAATCAAATCAGTGAACTGATCCAGGAATCACCTACCCTTAATCCCAGCATTGCACTGTGAATCACACACTCTAGATTCAGCCACCTCCAAAACTACCCTGACTGCATGAGCCTTTGGGGGGACATCCAGACACAAATAACATTCTTCAATTTAAAAAATATAATAGCTGGGCTGGCAATTTAACCCAGTAGTGTAAGCATCTGCCTGGCAAAAGTGAGGTTGTGACCTTGATCCTCAGTTAAAAAAAAAAAAAATATATATATATAGTATAGATGAACAATTATTTAGAAAGATTGCTAAAAATGTCAAGAAAATCTGAGAAAGTGGGACAAAAGTAAAAATGGTGATGAAGGACTGGAGAGAAAAGATGGATCAGAGAAGAAATCTAATAGGTTGAAAATCTAGCTAATGGGAATCCCCAAAATAGAGAAGAATGTATGAAAAAAGTAGGGTAGGGAATTTTTTCAGAGCAGGAAGACATTGCTGTTCAGTGGAGAAGACCTGCCCAATCTCCATAATGGTCAAGAAATAGACACACAGAAATCTTGAACCACCAGTGAAAAGAAGCAAAAGTCCCAGTTGACAGTCAATACAAAGTAACTCCATTCAGAACAGCTTCAGAAAATCAATTAAGATTCTGGGGGAAAAAGTATGATCAGCATGTAGTTCTTTAATGAATCACCTTTCAGTGGAGCTGGAGTATGTTTCAAGCCATATTCATATAGGAAAGAATGAAAATTTTTATCTACCACACCTTTACCTATTCTTTTGAAGCTTATGGAAGACATATTTCATCAAAAGAAGGGAGTGAACCAAAACATGGGGACTGGAAAACATGGGATCCAGGAAGCAAGGATTTGAACAGAGCTATGTGACTACACAGATTTAACTACAGAGCATTCCTGGGCCTCATCTAGAGCACACTCATATCTCCAGCCACGAGTTGGTCAATGGTCATGTAGACCCAGGGGACTCTAAGAGTTAAAGAGACAAAGCTAGGGGTCCAAGACTACAGATACTCTCAGGGTACAGATCCAAAGAGCAAAAAGTTGCACAAAGAAAGCTGAGAATCACGGAAAAGATATTTACTTTTTCTCAAGAAATGTACAATTAGGGAATTCTGTTGTGTGAATACCACAAGGACACTTACCCAAACCTAGATTATATGTGTCCTTTAGAAATGGTACTCAGAGGTACTATGGAATTTTTTAGGCTATTGCTGAAATAACACAACACATGGCTTTAAAGCCTAGTTTCTTTGGTATGATAAGGAAGAGTATACCCTATAACAATAAAAGTGAGTGCACCAAATACACAAACTGGCAGCATAGTCATTGTTATTACTATCAAGTGGTGTGTAATGTACGTGATTGCCTATGTTGTTCTTGTCCAGACTGGCTGTGCAGTATGTTTGTTTATATCAACATCACCACAAACATACGAGTAATACATTGTGCTATGAAATCATGAGGGCTCAATGGCACTGGGCCATAAGTATTTTTAAGCTCCATTATAATCCTATGGCACCCCTATTATATATGCATGCGGTCCGTCATTGGCTGACATATTTTGATGCCATGCATGACTATAGTTGAATAATGATACACACCTATGATACATCACGTGCCTGTGAGGAGACTAATCAAGTCCAGGGAAAAAACTACCTACAAGGATCAGAGGGAACAACATCCAGAATTTATACAGTGATAGGAATAATGTCCTTCCCAACAACCACACAGGAAACCTCATAATTCACAAGGTGCTCATAAATAATGGTCTTATTTTAGGGAAGAGAAGAACTAATCCCATCCAGCACACAGCCAAATATTACCAGGCATGCAAAAAAACAGGAAAATATGACCCATAAATATGACCCATAAATAACAACAGGGACACATCAATCAATTGAAACTGATTGAGAAATAACACGTGGTAGAATTAGTAGATAAAACTTTAAAGAGCACTACTTTCATATTCCAGGTATAGGGAGATTACAAGAAAGGCTGAACATGCTAACCAAAGACAGGAGAAATTTTAAGCAGAGCCAAATCAAAATTCTAGAGATAAAAATTGTAATATATGAGTTGAAAAACACACTAGATAGGATTAATAGCAAATTAGACTTACTCAAAGGTTACCTTGATTATGTGACAGCTACAAGAACTTTCAAAAACCCTGGAGCAAGCAGTTCTTTTACTTTAATTCACATTTGTAACCAACACTGCCGGACTTTCCTATTGATAGTACCTGTGAGTTAATTAAGAAATCACTTGGCACTGATGTTAAGAAACCTGGCACATCCTTCATCAAAATAAACTCTTTTCAAGCCATAAGGGTAAATGCTGTCTGTTTAATGATACTAAGTGGTTGGCTCATTAACTTGTCATGAATAAATCCCCTTTCCAGATTATATGCATGTCATGCATTTAATCTTGTGTGCTACAGATATGAGAGTCTAATGGGCATAAGCCTAAGATTTGGAAGTTTGGTTTTCAGCCTCATTCAGCCAATATTTGTTGAATGTATTCCAGGAATAGTATGAGGTGCTGGGAGAGCACTGGTAAGCAAGACGTAGCATCCATCTTCATAATGCTCAAAATCTAGGGGCAAAAAAGACAAGGGGACTTGCAATTATGACACCATGAGACAAGGTTATGAGTAAAGGAATGGGCAAAACGTTGAGGCTAAGAACAGGCATTTTTGGGAAGATGCAGGCAACCCAGCTTGGGTGAAATGTGTGCGACAGGAGGACTTGGTGAGAGCAATGTGGAAAGCGTAGCTTGCATATTGCCCTTAGGCAAAGGGGGAAAAGGATTTTAAAATGGTATCATATTTCCACACAAAGCATCCTAAGTTGGAAAGTCCAACATCAGCAGTGCTTCAATGTCTGAAGTTTTTGAACACTGATGTGAAACCACAGGCAGAAAATTCCTCACCTGCAGCCCACAGGTGGCAGGTTCAATCAAAACACAAGCGTACTAACAGTGTTGCCTTTGGGCTGTGCATATATGAAAATTAAATTTCATGTTTAGACTTGCATTCCCTTTCCAACTTATTATGTATGTGCACATATTCTAAAATCTAAAAAAGACTTCTGGCAAGGATGTTGGATCGGGGATACAAGATGTGATTTATAGTTGGGCATGGTGGAGCATATTCTGTAATCTGGGAGGGCGAGGTAGGAGAATCTCGAGTTTGACATCAGCTTGGGAAATGTAGTGGCTTAGTGAGACTGTCTCAGATGAAAAATTAAAAGAAAGGATATAGCTCAGTATGAAGGCCCTAGGTTCAGTCCTTGGTAACACACACACACACTCACAAAGGTTAACTCAGGGTATTCAAATCGAAGGGAGGATTTGCAATAATTCAGATGGGATATGACATTAAACAGGATGTGGCAAAGGATGCAAATACAGAGAGAAATACATACTTTCGAGAGAAATGGGAGAACTGGATTCAGCAGAATGTGGCGGCTGGGTATTCTCAGGGCCTGCAGGAGGAGGAGGAGCCATGGATTATTCTGGGTGGGAGCAGCTGTAAGGCCCATCCCTGAGTCAGTTCACCCAGCTTTCTTCTCTGAACGGCCCCCTGGCCTCTCCTGCACACTCCACTAATGTCTGTTCAGGCTCATGCTCCTCACTCCGCAGCTTTGGTGTTGCCTGGCAACAGCGGTGCCTTTATGTTGTCAGATCTCGTCCTACTTCTCCATGGTATTTCAAACTGCTCTTTCTCCTTCAGACTCCTCCCCATTCCCTTTGGGTTCACAGAGGAATCTCCTGATTTGTTAAACACAGCACACACTAACTAATGCAATGGGTGCTCCTTGCCTCCTCCTTCCACTACATACAAGAACCCCGCAGCTTTGCCTGGAGGTATAGGAGAACGATGTCTTCCCACCGCTTTGACACACAATCCTTCTGCCTGTGACCTGATCCCTTCTCCTCTCCTGTCCTTTGTCACCGGGGCCAGTTACTTCCTCTTTCTTCAGCTTCCCTTCTCACCTGGCTCCTTCACATTGGCATCCAAACCTCCCCATGCCTCTGCCATTTTGGAAATCCCTTCTTCAGTGTCTGCAGTTTTGTCACAGCTTCACCTTTCCAATTTTCCATACCCAGTTTTTAAACGTTGACCACTGCCACCTCTCTCGTAAAAGGACTTTGTCAAATACTTGACTTCTGTTTATGCATACAGTAAATGTATGATCGATTTCTTTATCAACCAAAGTGCCCCATAAACACACCCTTGAGATCTCTTTATACTTTAGAAATGGTTATCTTTTGTGAAATTCATTTCAAAGTTTTTTTTTCCCTCAACCTGCACATGCATCCCTAGGCAAGAAAATTTTTATTTGATTTCATTTTCTTAATTATACATTTAAAGATTACTGCATTCTATCTTCCACCTGAAATCTTTCCCTTTTCCTATCCTTGATTTTATTACATTGGGAGGAATCATCCTAGATCTTTTCCTGTGCATTTATATATAAATCCATGTTCTGTCTTATGGAGTTTTAAAACTATCTTAAGTAAATACGCATTTGGCATTTTAAAAATAAATAAGGCACATTAACTGTATGTCTGAAACTCTTCTTTCTAATAGGAACATGCCAACCACATTCTTTTAACACCTGACACAATGTTTTGCAGGCAATCTCTTACCTTCTTATTACAGTTATAACAGATGACCTCAAAAAAAAAAAATGTGACAGTGGCTTAAAAAGACAGAAGTATTTTATCTGACAATTCTAGAGCTCAGAAGTTCAAAATGGGTCTCATTTGGATAAGCCCAAGAATTTGTATGATTGTGTTCCTTCTAGAGAGTTAGATGAAGGTCCTTTCCAGCTTCTAGAGCAGTGGAAGTGAACCCTGGCACATGCATTAAGACAAAAACATTAGTGTATGAGTTGTTTTCTAAACAAAAGCCTCAGTATTTCCCATGCATTTATGTATAAATACATGTTCTGTTTTATGGAGTTTTAAAACTATTTTAAGTAAACATGCATTTGGCATTTTTAGGTTTAATTGCAATGTTGTCTCTTTGTGATAAATAAGTGGATTTTGGGTTGCAGTTCGTGCACTTGGTGTTTAAAAGTTTCACTATCACTGCTCTGGAGGAATTTGTATGCCTTGATCCCTGGCCTTACTGTTTTTTCGCAGCCATAGGGTAGCACCATCAAATCTCTCTTTCATGCAGAAGTGTTCCTTTCCCCGTTCACTTATAAGAACCTTGGTTCTACCTATGTAACCGAGGATAGCCTTTTGCCGAATGAGGTAGAATGTTCCCAGGCTCTCGGGCTAATGACATGCATGTTTGGGGGGTCATTTTCCTGTCACTGTGCCCCACCATCCATGGCTCATTTCCTTGTGAAAGTTCTCATTCTTCTACATAATGACACACTTCGGTCTCCATCTTCAGCTGCACCTCTTCATCAGGTCCTCTCCTCCCCTCCAATGTCCGACAAGCTCTGGAAGCCACGATGATTCTTACCTTGAAGTCTTTGCACACTTGGCTTCCTTAGTTTAAATAACTTCTTTTCCTCAAGGCACATTCTCTTCCTTGTTTTTTAAGACTCAAGGGATCTGTATTTTTCTTGAGGAAACATTTTTGCTTCCAGATGACATTTCTTACTTTCCAGAGTCATGTCTATTGAAATTTTCACTCTGTATCCTGAGTACCTGTGCTTTACCTTCATGTGGTAGGAATTGTTATTTCTTATAGTGGCAAGGGCTTGTACTATGTTTGGTATACAGCAGACAGTCACAGATTGTTTGCTGAATATATGAGTACAGAAAAAGCAGTCCTGAGGGTCAACATACTTTTGAGCCAGATTTCAAAGCTTCAGCTACTTGTAGGTTTCCAACCCTTGAACTTCTAACACTGCCTGGCTGATACAGTTAAGAAAGAAGGGGTCATCAGATCTCCCACCCATCACCAGGTGTCTCTGCATGTAGCTACTCTTTTAAATTTTTAAAAAAATTTTAAAGACCATGAAAGCAAACCAAAGAAAACAGAAAAAAGCCAATCAAAACAAAACAATGAAGTTGATACAGGACTTCCAAACAAGATAATAGGAAATCAACAAGGGCTACCATAATATCTCTTGTTATCTTCAAAATAGAGCTCATACTAGCAGACATAATAAAATAAAAAAGCAGAAGAGAATAAAAACAATGAAAACAAAACACTGAAAGTGATTTAGGACTTCAAAACAAGATAATAGGAAACCAACAATGACTACCATAAAGTATCTTGTTATTTTCAAAGTAGCTGCCCATGCCATCAGATAAAATAAAACCAAATATAACCAAACCAGACCAGGATGCAGGACCCAAAAACAAGATAATAGGAAATTAACAATGGCTACCACCTTCAGAAGGGGATCCTCCATAATTGATACATTGTATATTTTATCTATCAGAGACCACTATGAAGCAGCTCTAAGCAGGATTTAGAATTAACTAATTGGCTTTTTATGTTTATCTGTGAGTCTGTCCTAGACTAGGTCTCTTGTCTGGTGATGAGAGCTGATGCATAGTAAGTGAACCTCTATGAATCACTGATCCTCGGCTGTAGGGATCTGTGATGTCAGAGATACTCAAAGGGCAAGATAAGGCCACAGCTGAGGACACCTGGCTCTAACACTAATTAGTAACTAGAGACTGCAGTTGTAGGCATCTCACTCCTGCAGTCTCACTCCTATCATAAATGTCATCATGGAGATAAGACGGTTCCCCTAAACTGGTGTAATTTACTACTTGGAGAAGTCTTTGAAATGACTCCCAAGGTCCTGTTCACTTCCTGTGCTTTCCTCAGTATCCTGTCTTTGTTTGAAAACCTAACATATGGGCTACTCAGAAAAGCTCTTTGTTTCAGTCCCCAGAGTCTTGAATTCTGTAGAGGGTTTTGATCTTCCTGGAGCCCTAAAATCACTCCACTTGTTTCATTTATTTAAGCCTTTACCATATAAGTATATTTGAAGATTGGGGCTATCCTCTAAATAAATGCTCAGATGATCTGCTGTAAGCTTACAAAGTCAATCAAACAATACAAGCTTTAAGTTGCTTTTTTACTTCGGTAGTCATCATCTCAGCCTGTGTTTTCCTGAATCTGCTGGTTGCTTATGGAGGGAGAATGGGCTCAGCTCTTCTTGTCTCTCAGCCTGTGTGCCAGCTGGCTCACAGGAAGGGATTAGCTTCTTGTTTCTCCTTCCAGCCTTCATGGCTGCTTCTGGCTCACAGGAAGGGATTGGCTTGTTTCTCCTCCTGGCCCAGTGACTGCTGCTGGCTCACAGGAAGGAGTTAGCTTCTTATTTTTCCTCCTGGCCCGCATGGCTGCCCCTGGCTTACTGCACATAGATACTCTTGAGGTTCTGACCCTTTCTCTTATCCTTGCACTTTTAGGATGAGAAGTGAGCTGCTTCTCACTGTCAGTAGGCCCAGGGTCCTGCACTCTCCCTAGTTGGCTTCTCTATTTCTGTCATCCTATTTTAACACTTCCTTTGGTTTTTTTTTTTATTTAAAGAGAAAGAAACAAAAAAAATACATGGAGATAAAAAAGGGTAGAAATAATACAGAATTACAGAAAAACACATGGTAAGAAATTGCCAGTTGATAAATTACATATTGTCAACTTAGAAATAGCTGTTCAGGTTACAAAATTAAAGTATGTAAAATGACATTCAAATAGTGACACTGCCAACAGTTCTGCTCAATGATCTAACAAACACTTATTAATACGGTTATCAGTCCTATATACTTGTTTTATATCTTAAAGAGGGTAAGATTAAACATATCAAAACAGAACAAAACAGTTTAAAAAAAACAATTTAAAGAAATACAGATTTCAAAGCAAGTCCACTGGAGATCTTTACTGTCTATCTAATTGTCTCTAGTTTCTTCCAAATAGTTGTCCCCATCTTCACACACATTAAATACATACTGCATATTATAGAACTAATCAAATCATTACAGGATGATGAAGGCTTTTTTGGTCTTCAAGATCTGACATTGGGGAAGACAATAATAACTATCATTGTATTTCTCATTCTCTTCGTAGTAGCTGTCCTTATCTTTACATATGCTGAAATTGAACTTAAGAGACTAGACTAATATCACTCTGATCAGTGAATAATAGTATTGCTAGATTTTATATCATAATGCTAAAAAATTAGCATTGGGTTTCTTAGTGTCTCTTCTTCAAAGTATCTGTTCATTACATATTGCATTATATAATCTTTTCCCATAAATAATTTTTTAAAAAATCTTCTCATGTGTGAATTTCTACATGTATATCTATCCTCTCTATATTATAGGGGAAAAATCATAACAAGACAGCAAAACAAATTCCTAGAAAAACATGCAGTGAAAAAGACACATAAGACCACAATATTAGGTGATCTACCATAGTTACTATGCTTTCTCTTGTTATTTTCAATAGATATGTCCACATCATCATGCTTAATATAGTTGAACATAGTATTACCTAGCTATTTTTATAATAACACAACTTTGAAAACATTGTAGGACTTGAGAGTTGTTGATAATTAATACTGGTATGGATATCTTTTACATCTTGTCATCTTCAGAGTAGTTGCCTCTACTTTTAGGGTTGATACTATCAAGCATATCAAATTCAAATAAAATCAGCCAAGGCAAAACTGTGGTCTTATGAATCAGATTCAAATAAG